GTGTTGTTGACTTTAGCCATTCTGACAGCTGTAAGATAATATCTCATTATAGTTTTGATTTGCATTTCCCTGATGATAAGTGATGATGAGCATCTTTTCATGTGTCTCTTGGCCATCTCTGTGTCTTCTTTGGAAAAAGGCCTATTCATGTCTTCTGACCATTTTTCAGTTGGATTATTTGGCTTTTGAGGGTTGAGTTTTATAAGTTTTTTTATATATATTTTAGATAATAGCCCTTTATCAAATATGTCTTTACAAATATTTTCTCCCATTCTGTATGTTACCTTTAGTTTTGTTGTTTCCTTCACTCTGCAAAAGTGTTTTATTTTTATGTTGTCCCCATAGTTTATTTTTGTTTCTGTTTCCCTTGCTTTCTAGATTCATATCTAGAAAGAAGTTGCTACAGTGATGTCGAGAAGTTACTGCCTATGTTCTCTTCTAGGATGTTTATGGTTTTAGGTCTCACATTTAGATATTTAATTCACTTTGAATTTATTTCTGTTTATGGTGTAAGAAATTTATTTCTGCATGTTGCTGTCCAATTTTCCCAACGCCATTTGTTGAAGAGACTGTCTTTTTTCCATTGGATATTCTTTCCTGTTTGTTGAAGTTTCAATGACCATAAAATTCTGGGTTTAATTCTGGGTGCTTTATTCAGTTCCATTGATCTATGTGTCTATTTTTTTTTCTTTTTTATATTATGTTATGTTAATCACCATACATTACATCATTAGCTTTTGATGTAGTGTTCCATGATTCATTGTTTACATATAACACCCAGTGCTCCATTCAGTACGTGCCCTCTTTAATACCCATCACCAGGCTAACCCATCCCCCCATCACTCTCCCCTCTAGAACCCTGAGTTGGTTTCTCAGAGTCCATAGTCTCTCATGGTTCGTCTCCCCCTCCAATTTCCCCCACTTCATTTTTCCCTTCCTATTATCTTCTTCTTTTTTTTTTAACATATATTATTTGTTTCAGAGGTACAGGTCTGTGATTCAACAATTCATAGCACTCACCATAGCACATACCCTCCCCAATGTCTATCACCCAGCCACCCCATCCCTCCCACCCCCCACCACTCCAGCAACCCTCAGATTGTTTCCTGAGATTAAGAATTCCCATTAGTGAGATCATGTGATACATGTCTTTCTCTGATTGATTTATTTCGCTCAGCATAATACCCTCCAGTTCCATCCACGTCCTTGCAAATGGCAAGGTTTCGTTCCTTTTGATGGCTGCATAATATTCTATTGTATATATATATATATATACACTTCTTCTTTATCCATTCATCTGTCGATGGCCATCTTGGCTCTTTCCATAGTTTGACTATTGTGAACATTGCTGCTATAAACATCAGGGTGCACGTACCCCTTCGGATCCCTACATTTGCATCTTTGGGGTAAATACCCAGTACTGCAATTGCTGGGTCGTAGGGTAGCTCTATTTTCAACTTTTTGAGGAAACTCCATACTGTTTTCCAGAGTGGCTACATCAGCTTGCATTCCCATCAACAGTGTAAGAGGGTTCCCCTTTCTCTGCATCCCTGCCAGCATCTGTCCTTTCCTGACTTATTAATTTTAGCCATTCTGACTGGTGTGAGGTGGTATCTCACTGAGGTTTTGATTTCGATTTCCCTGATGCCGAGCGATGGTGAGCACTTTTTCATGTGTCTGTTGGCCATTTGGATGCCTTCTTTGGAAAAATGTCTGTTCATGTCTTCTGCCCATTTCGTGATTGGATTATTTGTTCTTGAGGTGTTGAGTTTAAGAAGTTCTTTATAGATTTTGGGTATTAGCCCTTTATCTGATATGTCATTTGCAAATATTTTCTCCCATTCTGTCAGCTGTCTTTTGGTTTTGTTGACTGTTTCTTTTGCTGTGCAAAAGCTTTTTATCTTGATGAAGTCCCAATAGTTCATTTTTACCCTTGCTTCCCTTGCCTTTGGCGATGTTTCTAGGAAGAAGTTGCTGTGGCTGAGGTCGAAGAGATTGCTGCCTGTGTTCTCCTTTAAGATGTTGATGGATTCCTGTCTCACATTGAGGTCTTTCAACCATTCTGAGTCTGTTTTTGTGTGTGATGTAAGGAAATGGTCCAGTTTCATTCTTCTGCATGTGGCTGTCCAATTTTCCCAACACCATTTGTTGAAGAGACTGTCTTTTTTCCACTGGACATTCTTTCCTGCTTTGTCAAAGATGAGTTGACCATAGAGTTGAGGGTCCATTTCTGGGCTCTCTATTCTGTTCCACTGATGTATGTGTCTGTTTTTGTGCCAGGACCATACTGTCTTGATGATCACAGCTTGGTAATAAGGCTTGAAGTCCGGAATTGTGATGCCACAAGCTTTGCTTTTCTTTTTCAACATTCCTCTGGCTATTCAGGGTCTTTTCTGGTTCCATACAAATTTTAGGATTATTTCTTCCATTTCTTTGAAAAAAATGGATGGTATTTTGATAGGGATTGCAGTGAATGTGTAGCTTGCTCTAGGTAGCACTGACATCTTCACAATATTTGTTCTTCCAATCCATGAGCGTGGAACGTTTTTCCATTTCTTTGTGTCTTCCTCAATTTCTTTCATGAGTATTTTATAGTTTTTTGGGTACAGATTCTTTGCCTCTTTGGTTAGATTTATTCCTAGGTATCTTATGGTTTTGGGTGCAATGGTAAATGGGATCGAATCCTTAATTTCCCTTTCTTCTGTCTTGTTGTTGGTGTATAAGAATGCCACTGGTTTCTGTGCATCGATTTTATATCCTGACACTTGACTGAATTCCTGTATGAGTTCTAGCAGTTTTGGGGTGGAGTCTTTTGGGTTTTCCACATAAAGTATCCTATCATCTGCAAAGAGTGAGAGTTTGACTTCTTCTTTGCCGATTTGAATGCCTTTTGTTTCTTTTTGCTGTCTGATTGCTGTAAGCTAGGACTTGTAATACTATGTTGAATAGCAGTGGTGATAGTGGACATCCCTGCCACGTTCCTGACCTTAGGGGAAAAGCTCTCAGTTTTTCCCCATTGAGAATGATATTTGCTGTGGGTTTTTCATAGATAGCGTTTATGATATTGAGGTATGTACCCTCTATCCCTATACTCTGAAGAGTTTTGATCAAGAAAGGATGCTGTATTTTGCCAAATGCTTTTTCTGCATCTATTGAGAGGATCATATGGTACCTGTTCTTTCTTTTATTAATGTATTGCATCACACTGATTGATTTGTGGATGTTGAACCAACCTTGCAGCCCAGGGATAAATCCCACTTGGTTATGGTCTATTTTTGTACCAGTACCATACAGGTGTTTTTTGTTTCATTTTGTTTCTTTGTTTGTTTTTATTACAAACACATGTCTTAATGAAAGATGTTACTTAAAAAATGGTTTTATACACATACTCATAAAAACACATACATATATGAGATAAGTACCATACTGTTTTGATCACTACAGCTTTGTAATATAACTTGAAGTCTGGAATCATGATGCCTCCAGCTTTGTTTTCTTTTTCAAGTTTGCTTTGGCTATTTGGGGTCTTTTGTGGCTTCATACAAATTTTAGGATTATTTGTTCTAGTTATGTGAAAAATGCTGTTGGTATGAAATTATAGATTTTTTAAGGGAAATTGCTACAGCAACCATTCAACTTGTGGGACTATGAAAGCCCACCAGCCAGCACTGTGTGTGTAGCCCCCAGGAGGAGAGTCCAACAGGTAATCCGAACCAATTCTCTTTCCCAGTCCTGCCTTATAAAATGCTTGCAAATCTTACGTCAGGGCTCAGCTTACAGGAGAAAGTTCACAGGAGAACTTAGATACTTAAAATACTAATCACAACAGTGACCAGATAAACAGTCATGTATAAACATAAGTGCTGACATGAAAAATCAGTAGGTTATTATTTGGAAAGTTTGTGTAACTTAGATGTTGAAGTGGATGAGGGATGGGGATTCCCTAGGTATGCAGTTAGTGGTGAAAGATATGGAAAATGTCTTGAAAGAACATACACTTTTCACTGTTATCAAAAATAATTAAATTATTCTTGACTCTGAAGACATATGCAGTGAAGATGTGTGGGTCCTCAGGATTGAAGGATATTGAGTGTTGTCATAAGCTTACTTGTGCCCTACGGACATTCCCAGAGGGACATTCTGGGGTGGAGGAGTACTTGCACCTGCCTGACTCCTGACACAGAGACCCTCATGATGCTCTTCTGCTCAAGTCCATCCACATCTGTGGGTATATACCTAACAATGTAATTGCTGGGTCATTTGGTGACTCTGTGTAAATTATTTTATCAGTTTTATGGAAATATTATTGACATACATCACTATGTAAGTTTAAGGCATACATCATGATGATTTGATTTATATATATTGTGAAATGATTACCACAATAGGTTCAGCTAACATCCATCATCTCTTAAAAATACAATAAAAAGAAAAGAGAGAAGAAAAAAGAGAAAAAATTCTCCATTTAATGAAAACTCTTAAGATGTATTCCCTTCACAACTTTCCTATAAATCATACCATGATGATATGTATAGTCACCAGATGGTACATCACATCCCTAGTACTTACTTTTCTTATAACTGAAATCTTGTACCTTTTGAACACTTCCTCCAATCCCCCTCCTCTCACCCACTTCCTCCACCTCTCCCCAAGTCTGATCTCTTTTTCTACGAATTTATTTTATTTTATTTTATTTTTAAAGTCCACACATCAGTTAGATCATGCAGTATTTGAATCTGATTTATTTTATTTAGAATGATGCTTTCCAAGTCCATCCATATTGTCACAAATGGGAGGATTTCTATGGCTGAATAATATGTTTAGAATTTTGAGACACTATCAAACATTTTTGCAGAGGTTTGCTGTTTCTCATCTAAAGGCCTTTACAGTGAGTTAGGTGTGGATCCAACACCCTCAGTTTGGGATACCAAATCTGATGATTCCTCTGCCACGCCGTGTGCCTGGTCTTCCTAACTCCCCTGCTTTTCCTATTTCTGTAGGTTATTCCACTGATCAGCAACATGACACAGCCTGCCCTGTCCCTTCACACCGCATTACCTACACCTTTCACCTCTGCTGTGCCATACCATAAGAGTTGGAACATCTTATCTAAACCAGGTGCCATGAACATAGAAAAAGCCTTGGAAGAAAGGAAGTTGGTGAAGGTGGTCTCTGCAGTCAGAGAGACCCTGAAGACAGCTTCCAGTGCCCCAGTGAGCATTGCAGTGACTGGGAACTCTGGCAATGGCATGTCTTCTTTCATCAATGCACTGCGGGGAATTGGGCATGGGGAAAAGGACGCAGCTCCCACGGGTGTAGTGAGAACCACCCAGATTCCCATTCACTACTCTTTCTCCCACTTTCCCAATGTAGAGCTATGGGACCTGCCTGGCACAGGGGCTACCACCCAAAGCCTAGAGACCTATCTGGAGGAGATGCAGTTTAGCAAGTATGATCTCTTCATCATCATTGCATCTGAACAGTTCAGCATGAATCTTGTGAAGCTTGCCAAAGTCATCCAGGGACAGGGAAAGAAGTTCTACATCGTCTGGACCAAGCTGGACAGAGACCTGAGTACACATGTGGTCTCAAAGGAACAACTCCTACAGAATATCCAGGAGAATATTCGGGTAATTCTCCAGAATGAGGGAATGTGTGAACCCATCATATTCCTGGTCTCCAGCTTTGATCCCTCATTGCATGACTTCCCAGAGCTTAGGAAAACCTTGCACAGAGACGTGTGTGAGATCCGGTACCATGCTCTCCTAGAGAATCTGTCTGACACCTGTGAGAAGGTCATTAATGACAAAGCAATCACTTTGCAGAGGCAAATGGGCTCAGAGTCTTTCCAGGACACCTTTGGCATCCAGAATGCAGATCATCTTGGGAAGTGTTTGAACGTCTACCACTCGCTCTTTGGTGTGGATGATGAATCTCTCCAGGAGGTGGCCCAGAGTATGGGAAAACCCATGGAGGAGTACAAAACCATTATGAAGTCTCAGGATCTGCACACTGTCCTCACAGGGGACTGGGCATTATCGTGGATGAATTGTAATACAGCCTCTTACTTATATTCAGTTCTGAGCTACATCCCAATCTTAGGTAACACTAGTATCCACTACCTTAGAGGGTGGAATCAGAGGCGCCTCCTTGACATAGTTGTTGAGGACACCAAGACCATACTGAAGAAAATTCTGAAAGATGCCATCACCTGAAGAGTGAGGTCTCAGCAGGCTCCTTCTTGGGGAAAGTCAGGATATCTGGGGTCCTCTCCTCACACTGTACCCTTCAGAATTCTCAGTCAGCTCAATATTTCCACTTTTGTCGGTTCTAAGTTTCTTGAGGTAAATAAGCTGACTAGATCATTTTGAACCCACATCTCAGCAAATTTCCAAATATGTCCTACTTCTCATTTATTAAGTGAGCTGGGATCCAAAGATGGAAGAAAAGATTGCATAGTGTGACATAGTCTCATTCTGACATCCCCACATCACTTAATGTTAGCATCATTTTTCCAAGACCTCTTGGTTTTCTCCTGTTCCTTCACTTCTCACCTCTCAGTCCATGGATTCACAGAAGCACACCTGGAGGCAGAGGAGAGAACATCCTTTGGGATGTTCCCTTTGGGGAAATATGATAGAGAGTGTGTGTTAACTGTTCTCTGAAAAGTATTGTGTAGTGGTGCCAGGATCCAAGGCCAGTCTGGCGTCCTGTAAAGCTCTGTCCTTATATCTGTTCTCAGCAATTGCCCAAATCATTTATATACAAAAAAGGACACAGGGGTGGACTCAAGGACCATTTTACTGGGTTTGGGAAATTGTTGAATGGAAAAGCAAACCTGGCTATTATAAGTACCAAACACTGATCCCCCACACCAAGAGGTCCCATGCTCTTCACATGAACATGATCATGGTGCACCTGTCATAGGAAGTAGTGCCTGTTAGATTATGTTTGCTATACAGAAATGTTTGCTCACTTAAAGTACCTGCTATGTTCTGTTATTTGCCAAAGTTATCTCCCATATTGGTCAAAAGAAACTAAATTTGAGCATCACCATTAAGGAAATTAACCTGCCATCTATGATCTCACTGTTTATATAGTTAACCCAAACTATTAGAGACTCTATGAAAATTTCATTCCATTCCAGACCCTACCTCTAGATTTTTCTCCTTGCTGGGCATATGTGTAATAAAACTAGTTTTTTTTAGGGCGCCTGGGTGGCTCAGATGGTTAAGCATCTGCCTTCAGCTCGGGGCGTGGTCCCGGGGTCCTGGGATCAAGTCCCACATCGGGCTCCCTGCTCCTTGGGAGCCTGCTTCTCTCTCTCTCTCTCCCTCTCTCTCTCCCTCTCTCTCTCATGAATAAATAAATGGAATATTTTTAAAAAAGAATTTTAAAAAACTGTTTTTTTTGTACAAAAAAATTTTCAGATAAAATTTGAAACCTCACTCTCCACCACCAGAAGTCATAACCTGGTTCTCACCACTGTGGGAATCATTCAGTCCTCACAAGAGCAACCTTCCTTCCCTGTCACCACCATCACTTTACTCTATTTACCTGGGAAGATTTCACCTAGTGTGGAGTCCAATCTGAATTTGGTGGACATCTGAACTGGCTTAATGTATAAAATTGTGGCCCATCTTTAGGCTTCTGCTCAAAAAAGAGGGCTTATCAGAGGTTATCATAAATATTCACTGGGACAGAGAGTGAAGTTCACATTGAATGGAAGTGAACTGAAAGAGGCATAGTAGAGTGTTTAAGAATCCTGGTTCCAGCGTGCCCTTGCCATGTGATCTTGGGCAAGTCAACTGATATTCCACTGTCTTAGTTTCCCAATAGTTAATATAGTGATAATAATATTACATCCTAAGATGTCCATCTACATCCAGGTAATGTGAGGATTTAATGAGTTAAAGCACATAAAGCACTTAGAATAGGGTCAAGCATGTAATTCTGTAAATGTTTGGTATTATCATTATCATTCCTTCTCTTCATGGCTAAGAAGGGATAACACTGAAAGACAGTTCCGCCAAAAGGTGAGTGTCCTCAGATTGTCCATCCATTGGAAAGAGAAGAGTCTGCTGGGAGAGACCTGCATTCACATGGAAGCCTTGAAGGCATAGTTGCATCTCATTCTTTTTCCAACTGAGCTTGTTAAGTGTCCCCTTTGGAAAGTTCAGGAAGCAGAAGACAGTCCCATACACAGCACTATACTGCATCCTGAGATCTCTCATCCCCCCATGAGGGATGAGAGAGAGAATTGTGATGAGTAGTCAAAGGGTTTTAGAGATCAGAATGGCTGTAGGTGCAGAGTTCTTAGAGTAAACCCAACCCTAACCTGCCTTTCCTGGGTGATCATGATGAGGGAGGGTAAAGAAGAGCCCACACCCACTGGAGCCTCCCATAGCTCAGCCAAGAAGAAAACCAAGTCACACCAGGAAGCCTGAGGTCTTTTGGGGAGTTTGAGACCATGTATTTTACCACATAGGAAGCTAACGTAGAAAAGCAGTCAAAGACAAAGAGGAGAGATCATCAAGGAGACAAAGTGATCAGAAGCTCCAATGAAGAGTTTTCTCCTCAGTGCCACAGGGAATCCCAGCAGGGGTGGGGTCAAATAGGAATGGAAAACACAATCTTGACCTGCCCCTAGATCGGTGGTAGGCACCTTTAAGATGGCCTCCAACATTATCTCCTATTTTCATGGCTTTGTTTAATCCTTCCCTGGAGTGACTAATGGAATATGGCAGCAAAAAATGGAATGTCCAAGAATTCCAGAATTTTGTTATGAAAAGTCTATAGCTTCTGTCTTATAAACACTCTCTATTCACTTGCTCAATCTCTTTCACTCTGGCTCCTACTCTTTCTCCCTCAGTCTCTCCCTCTCTTTTTCCCTCTCCCTCTTGCTCTCTCTGCCTAGTAATCATAGAAAGTTTAAACTAATCCCCCCTGAAGAATCAGAAGCCATGTCGGGGAGAACAGAGGCAGCCTGCATTAACTGCCAGTTATGTAAGTGTGTCATCTTGGGAGTAAATTCTCCAGCTCCAGCAAGACTTCAGAAGATGCAGTCCAGCTGGTAGCTTGACTACCACCTCAGGAGAGACCCTTATCCAGAACCACACAACTGAGACTGTTCCTGGATTTCTGACCCTCAATAACTATAAGCAAATAAGCACTTGTTTTTTAAGCCACTATGTTTCAGGGTTTTTGTTCCACAACAACAGATAACAGATAATACCATCAAGAAGCTCCTTACAGGCGGCAGTTGTGAGTGACTCCCTCCATCTGTGACAGTCACTCCTGCATGAACCCAGCATGAAGGAACTGCACCCTCTTTAATAACAACTCTTCCCTCCTAGGCCCCAGGACATGTCCTTCCCTGCTGTCTACTGAAGGACCAGTCTCTGCCAACATTCACAGGTCATTTCATCCAGCCTCAGGTCACACAGAGTTATGCAGTTTGAGGCTCTATGCTTAAGAAAAAGGGGGGGAAAAGAAGGAGCTAGACAGAGTGATGCTCCATAGTGAGAAGGAGAATAAATGACTGTAGAATGTGAGCACTCCCCTGAGGAAGAGCAGGCTAGGGTTCTCCCTGAAGGTGTCCTATGCAACACCTCAAATCCTTATTCTCATTTAGACTAGTTGCTCTCCCAGCCTGAAGCAGAGGCCTCATTCACATCCATCCATTGCCTTGTGGTGCTGGTGCCTCTTGGATTCCCTGTTCTCTGTTCATTTAGATTGCATCCATTCTCAAACAAAGTTGGCAGGGGGAGTTCTCTGGGAGGTAAGCTTTCTAGTTTTTGCATTTCCAATTAATTCCTTTATTTTGTGATCACTTTCAATAAATAGTTTAACTGATTATAGATTTCTGGACACAACATCATGTTCTCTTAGAACTCTGAAGATCTACCTCTTTCCAGCATGCCATGTCGCCAGTAAAAAGCCCAGTGCCAAATTCATTCTCATTCCTTGGGTGGTCACCTGGTTGTCTCCATGGAAAATTGTAGGAACTCTTCATCCTTGGGGTTCAGAAGTGTCACCAGGGGCTAGTGACCCAGAGCACTTCCATCAACACTCAGCATTCAGAAGGCTCCTCAAATGACAGCTGACATGAAAAGACATGGAGGAAACAGAAATGCATATTACCAAGTGAGAGAAATCAATCTGGGAAGGCTATATACTGCACGATTCCAACTGTGTAACATTCCGAAAAAGGCAAAACTTCAGATTCAATAAAAAGATCAGTGGTTCCCAAGGGCTCAGGGGAAGGAGGGATAAGTCAGTGGAGCACAGAGGCCATTTAGAGCAGTGAAACCACTCTGTGTAATATGATAATGGTGAATCAATGGTGGACAAATTATACTTTTGTCAAATCCTATAGAATATACAACACCAAGAGGGAACCCAATGTAAACTATGAACACAGAGGGATAAAGATGGGTCAGTTTGGGTTCATGAATTGTAGGATGGTGTGAGTTGTTGACAGTGGGGAGGCTGTACTTATGTGAGGGTAGGAAGTACATGGGAATCCTCTCTACCTTCCGCTCGATTTTGCTATTTACCCAAAACTGCTCTAAAATATAGTCTATTGAAAAAGATAATGTCTGCTTATAATGTTCTTCAGCTTTGGCATTATCCTTTGTTACATTTTCTTTTTTTTCTTTTTTTTTTAAGATTTTATTTATTTATTTGACAGAGAGAGACACAGCGAGAGAGGGAACACAAGCAGGGGGAGCGGGAGAGGGAGAAGCCAGCTTCCGGCCAAGCAGGGAGCCCGATGAGGGGCTCGATCCCAGGACCCTGGGATCGAGACCTGAGCCAAAGGCAGACGCTTAATGACTGAGCCACCCAGGCACCCCATTTGTTACATTTTCTAAGTGTAATATGTGTTTAGCCACTAGCTACAGTAGGATATATATGATATTTCATGCATACATACACACAGAATAAAGCAAGGTATAAATACCTGTGAACTCAACTCCCAAATTAGGAACTAGATGTTTCTTATATCACTGAATATTCCCACAAGCTTCACCCCATATCCTGTCTCTCCACATCTCTTCTCAGAAGTACAAATCCTCCAAATTTTACATTTTACAGTTTAACATTTTTTTGCTTTCATTGGTTTTTACCATCTATGTGTTTCTTCAGACAATACATTATATAGTTTTGGATGTTTGGGTGCTTTAGAAAAATAGAATAATTTTGTGTGCCATCTTCTGTAAGCTGCTTTTCATTTACAACTGTTTCTATCACATGTGTTTTCCATTTTGCAAAGATAGAACATATTATCTATTTCCTGTCAGTGGACATTTTGGGTTGGGCTTCTTTACAGTTGTTTCTTTCTCTTCAAAGCAGTTCTCCTAGAAACACCTTACACATGTTTCTGGCACACCTGTGTAGAAACTTCTCCAGAAATAGGAGTGTAATGGCTGGGTCATAACATATGGATTCTTACACATTGCACCAAAGAAAGAATGCATTTCTTACCAAACAGCCTCAAATCTCCCATCACTAGATATTTTCTATATTTTTATTACTATTGGACAGTTGAGAAGGATCTCCTACCCTAATATCTTAGAGTACATTTGTAACTTGGTGTCTGTGACCACCCATTTCTCTCTTAAGGAGGTTACATGGTGTCAGATCACATCTATATCTGAAGCAGCTTCCTGAATCATGTCCTTTAAGCTCTGCAGGAGCTGCTGGCTCATCCTCCAGGGTCTTCTTCTGAATGGACCTCCCCAGGGGTGCTGGGGTTCTCAGACACCCCACACCATTCTCTAGTCCAACTCTAACATTACACTAAGAGTACTGCTACTAAAAATTATTTTAGAGTAGGATTTGTTCTGACTGAAGTATATACCCCCCAACTTC